ACCTGCAGTGGTTATGGTGCTGCGGTCTTGGTTCCCTCTCCCAACAGCTGAGCATGAGTGATTATAGCTGCAGCAGGGAGTAGAGGAATAGAATAGATGAAATGCATTTCCAAGGTGATTCTTCCCAGCAAGTAGAATATCCCCCAAACATGAGCCTAGACTTCATGAAGGGTGTAACACGAATAGCCTTGAAAACACACGGGCTTTTATGAGAAATCCTCCTGCAAGAGGACCTCCCACAGCAAACAAAAGCAACAGCCAATCATCACACAAATTTACAGTATTACACGCCTCCTCTCTGCCTGGGAGATATTGAGATAAGTTAAGGAATAAACCAGGCAGAGAGCACATAATTTCCCCAAAACTTAGAACACCCCTTTTCCCACAAGGTATCCCACAAATTACATATCCCATGATAGCCCCGATCTGGGGGACAAACATATCCAAATTTCACCCAGATTGGTTCAGGGGTTCTGAAAAAGTGTGGAGGGTCCTTTTTACCGACCACACACGCAGCTCCTGCATAAAGCAGTTCCATGAATTCAGCGTGTGTGCGGTCGGTCAATTCACAAAACTGAAAAAAACGAATAAAAGTCCTGAATGGATTCCGCTGGCTCATAGTAGCGATTGCTCCCCTTGTCCATTCGCACAGAACTACCAAATGAGGCTTTCCTGGCTGTTCGGGAAGTATGAGAAGCCGGCGTTCGATAGTTTCCAGCGGTAGTTCGTGAGGTCGAGTGTCCGATTTTAGTTCCAGACACTCGACGAGTCCCGCTGGTTCTCCACGTGCGAAGAAGATAGCCGCCGTTTTCTTTTCCACGTGGCTAGTTTTCTTTGAAGTAAATGAGCCAGGAGGGTGGTCGGCGTTCAAACTACCGAACCAATCCATTCAATATACAAGTATTCACATATAAAAATACAGAATAAAAAGGGAGAAAATAACAGGTAAAAGTCTATTTTCTTCACAGGGGGTTAATATGCATGGAAGGGGTAGGTGGGGTTCTTTTGTGCATGGAAGGGGTAGGGATAGTTCTAATATTCATGGGAGGGGTAGGGGTGGTTCTAATATTCATGGATGGGGTAGGTGGGGTTCTAATATAAATGGAAGGGGTAGAGATGGGTAGTAAAATGTATGGAATGCATTTCTGACAGTGTCACTGAATGACAGTTAGGAAATGTGGTCACCCTAAGTCAGGGGCAGTATTACACAATCTGTATATGTATAAAAAAAAATAAAAAGTAATCTGCAAAGTACAAAATGTTTGTGTCATATGTCGTGCTAAAAATTAAGCTAGGAATATGCATTTTTTTTAATTTTTTTTAATAATTTTTAGAATAATGATAAAGACATTTTATTTCTTACATTTGTGATTATTCTTTTTTCCTCTCTATATTCAAGGGACACTATAGTCACTAGAACCACAACAGCTAAACGTAGTAGTTCTGGTGTCTATAGCATGTCTTTGCAGGCTTTTTAATGTAAGCACTGCCATTTCGTAAAAAGGCAGTATTTACATTACTGCTGAGGAATACCTCTAGTGGACACTCAGATGGCCACTAGAGGTGCTTCCTAGTCGAGACATGAATGCCGCCCTATGAAGTATCTGCGCATGTGCGGCAAAGCTGCGCATGCGCACCAGAGAGCAATGACGCTTCTGAATAGAAGCGTTTTATTGCTCCCTGCTCGCACCCTCCTATTTCGTCATTTTGACGAAATAGGGGGCGCGGCATCAGGAGGATCCCGGCACTGTATCCGTGTAAGTAAAATCCCTTCCCTGTAGTGACCCTTTAATGTTATTATTTAATCATTTATATAGCAACTGCAAATTCCGTAGCGCTGTACAATGGGATAAACAACTCCTAGTTTACGGAATAAGAATATACCCGGCGAGTAAAAATGCTATCCCCCCCCAGATATTTTTGGGTTCCTACGCCCATGACAAATATGTCCCATCTGGGCCCCTACGCTCTGCCGGAGACCTACGTCTAACCTTTGTTCTTACTTCTACCTCTAAAGCGTACCTTAAAGAATTTTCTTGGGCTGCACCGTTCCAGTGGAACGCCCTTCCCCTCTCTGTTAAACTTTCACCCAATCTCCACTCCTTCAAAAATCTTTGAAAACTTACTTCTTTAGGAAAGCATATCAATTACATTTTGTGAGCAGCTTTCCCTCCACTCACCCTAATTCCTCTCCTGAAACTGTCATCAAAACAAAACTATAATGAGCCCTCAATGAGCACTATCCTAGAACCTACTTTTCTACCCCACCCTTACCTTTTGTGTCACATTACCCCACTCCCTCTAGCATGTAAGCTCATTGAGCAGGGCCTTCAATCCCTCTGTTCCTGTGTGTTCAACTCATCTGGTTACAAATACTTGTCTGTTAGTCCACCCATTGTACAGCGCTACTGAACTTGTTGGCGCTTTATAAATAATAATAATAATTATATTGGTCAACAACCATAATAATAACAGTGAACCCAATGGAAGTAGGGAGTTCGACAATAAAGCTGTACTTTGGATTGGAATTGGTCTAGTAGACATTTTTCCCATTTTCAGGAGAGACCAATAGTAAGAAGTGTTTGTAATACCTGACACGTACAGGTGATGTGAAGATCGGGAAAATAAATCAGTATATCATCTAAATGCACTATCACAAAAGAATGCATAGAGTCTCTGAAGATGTCATTAATAAAATCTTGGAATACAGCAGGAGCATTACAAAGGACAAAAGACATGGCAGTATACTCATAATGGTCTCTTCTAGTAATGAATGTGTTTTTCCATTCATAGCTCTCTTTAATTCACACCAAGTTGTATGCATTCCTAAGATCTAATTGGGTAAACATAGAAGCTCCTTTAAATCTGTCAAACAATTCTGTGATTAGAGGGATAGGGTAGGCATTCCTCATTTTATTTAGTCCTCTATAGTAAAGGAAGGGTCTTAAATCCCCCTAAGAAACAAAAACAAAAAACTAACCCCTTCCAGTAAAGAAGACCTTTGTATAAGACTGTTTTACAATGACTCATTGATATACACCTCCATGATCTTATTCTCCTGGGGTGATAAAGGATAAACTCTGCTTTTTGGTGGTACTGTGCCAGATAGGAGATCCATGAGGCAGTCATTGGGCCTAACTTATCATCTTCTTTCTTGTCAAAATGGATTTGATATGCAAGAATGGAGGTGGATAATGGTGGGGGCAATAGAAACATTAATGGAATGCAAAGGAGTAACCTTCATTACACACTTCTCCTAGCATAGAGAACTCCAAGAAATAACTTGGAGGTTATGCATTGATAACCAGGGATAACTCAAAATGATTGAAGACGAAGGAGATGAAATTACTTAGAAACACAGTCTCTCAGTGTGCAGGAAACATGTGACTCAGTCACATGTGTTATAAGGCCACCTTTGGCCTCCAAGATCAAGGGTATATCCATCTCTCTTAATAATGGATTTTAATGAAACCTTTATCAACAAAATTATCAGCTGCTCTAAAATTGATAAAAGCTAGAATATCAACCAATTTATTTTCTGAATAACAAGATGATATGGAGAGGAAATTGATTTTGAGGCAAGAAAGGGTACTTAGTTCTCTGGAGCAACTTTAGGTGCAAGAGTTTTCTGAAATCAATTCTAAGATGTCCCTTTTTTTTCCGCAATATAGGCATAGGTCCTCCTTTTTTTTTTTTGTTTCTCTGCCTCTGATAATTTATTTACCCAAACTGCATAGGTTCAGTGTCTGATGTGGTAGAAGAAGCAGGAGCTGTGACATGGGGTGTTATAGCTATGGTAGGATGTCTAGATCTACCCCTCTGTAGTTGTCTTTCTTTCAAATGATTATCTATGTTGATTAGATAATAAATAAAGTTTTCTTAAAAATCTGGTGCATCTATTCCCCCTTTTTTTTCTTTTTCCCCTCCCCTTGATTTTTTGTATTATTTTTATATTTGTATATATATTTAATTTTTAAAAAAATAGTTTTCCGAATACAATATGGCAATTCAGGGTTAATGTGACACATTAAGTGTTAAGTGTATTACAATTATTTATTTAATTTTCATTTTTTTTTGTTATTACAAGATTGGCTTATAAGATGAGATATTAACGTCCTTATAGGAAGAGTTTTTAAATTGGTAACTTCATTAAGCCCATGTATTGTTTGAGAAATATTTTGTGAAAGTATTTATTTGATGGGATATTGATGGCTCATTTCTGGTTTTCTTTTTGATCCAATTGATCCCAATCTTTTGGAAATATAAGACAGTCTCAAGGTGTCAGAAACAAACTTAAATTTTGGTAAGCTTTTTATATAAATGCATTGTATTTGGCTTATCCATGCTCACCAGTGTTACTTCTGAGGCTCTGAATCCTAGGAACTGATAAGCAGTGCCAGAGTAAAGTATGGGCCGATGGAGCTGGTGGTCCACGACCATAGCTGTCAAATAGTACCTGGTAGATACAGGGCCGGACTGGGGATACAAAGCAGCCCTGGAAAAAAAAAATTGTGCCAGCCCCATAAGTCACTGCGCCATATATTGTCGCGTGTAATATGTAAGGCTATGTCTTGACAGGACAGATGATTGAGTAATATATATATATATATATATATATATATATATTGCTTTTTCTAATATAAAATATTGGTCCTTTCAGGGTAAAACGTTTAATAATACAGTAAGCATACGCACATGCAGACACAGGCAATTTCACTGACATTTCAGTGACACACACAAGCTCATTGATACACAGCCTCATAGACAAACAATCTTACTGATATACATCAGCTCATTGACATAAAAACACAAGCTCACTCACTAGCAGGCACACGCATGCAAGCAAGCTCACTCACTAGCAGACACACACACACAGCTTAATGTGGTGTCTATAGCATGTCCCTACAGGCTTTTCAACGTAAACACTGACTTTTCAGACATAATGCAGTGCTTACATTGCTTCAAAGTGACACTGCTAGTGACAGTCACTCAAACGGTCACTAGAGGTGCTTCCTGTGTTAGTGCACCTACATTCAGGGCCTCCACACTCTGTAGGTGCTGAACGTTCCCCATACAGATACATTGATTCAATGCATCTCTATGAGGAGATGCTAATTGGAGTGGCGTTTTGCAGCCAATCCTATGGCAAAGCATTGGATTGGCTGAGATCATCAAGCTTGATGATCTCAGCTATAGAGGCAGGGCCAGTCGAGGGAGACCAGCACGCTGCGTGGGGAAAAAAAAAGGTGAGCAAAAACACTATTTTTAAACACACATTTACACCATGACAGACACAGAAACACACATATACCATGACAGATACACACCCCATTACAGACACACACACACCATGACAGACCATGACACAGACAGACACACACCATGACACAGACAGACACACACCATGACGGACAGATAGACACACACACACCATGACGGACAGACACACACACACACACACCATGAATGACAGACAGACACACACACACCCCATGACAGACAGACAGACACACAAACACACACACCCCATGACAGACAGACAGACACACACACCCCATGACGGACAGACAGACACACACACCCCATGAATGACAGACACACACACACCCACCCAATGACGGACAGACAAACACATACACACACACACCATACAGACAGACACCATGACACATACAGACACCATGACACAGACAGACACACACACACCATACATACAGACACCATGACACAGACAGACAGACACATTACTTATACCTGCCAGGGTGAGGTCTTCTGGGGGCCGCTGGGGGACTTTTACCGCTGGGAAGGTCTTCTGGGGGCATCTGGGGGACATGTCCTGTCGGCCGCTGGGGAGGTCTTTTGGCGGCCGCTGGCGGACTTGTCCTGGCGGCCGCTGGGGGAGCTGCGTCGTCTTACTTACTTCCCTCCTTGGTCGTCTTACTACCCCACCTGTTCTTCTTACCCCCCTTCTTCTTCTTAACCCTCCTACTTCTTCTTACCCCCCTTCTTCTTCCTCCCCCTTACTCTTCTTACTCCCCTTTACTCTTCTTACTCCTCCTTTTTCTTCTTACCCCCCTCTTCTTCTTCTTACTCACCCCTTCTTCTTCTTACCCCCCTCTTTTTCTTATCTCCCCTCCTGCTTACTCCCCCTCCCCCTTTTCTTACTCCCCCATCTTTTTCTTACTCACCCCTTCTTCTTCTTACCCCCCTCTTTTTCTTATCTCTTCTCCTTCTTACTCCCTCCCTCCCCTCTTCTTATTTCCCTCCCTCCCCTCTTCTTATTCCCTCCCCTCTTCTTATTCCCCCCCTCTTCTTATTCCCCTCCCTCTTCTTGTTCCCTCATTTCTTCTTGTTTCCCTCCTCCCCCTCTTCTTGTTCTCTTTTTATTCCCCCCCCTCTTGCGTTTCCCCTCCCTCCCTCTTCTTATTCCCCCCTCTTCTTATTTCCTCCACTTCCCTCTTCTTATTCCCCCCTCTTCTTATTTCCCTCCCTCCCCTCTTCCATTTCCTTCCTCCCCTCTTCTTGTTCCCTCCCTCCCCTCTTCTTGTTTCCCTCCCTCCCCTCTTCTTATTTCCTTCCCTCCCCTCTTCTTATTCCCTCTTTATCCACCCCCTCTTCTTATCCCCCCCTTCTTATTCCCCCCTCCCCTCTTTTTATTCCCCTCCCCTCTTCTTACCCCCTCCCCTGTAGCGTGGCCGAGCTGCACTCCGGTCCGCGGTGGCCGGCCGGCCGGAGTGATAGGAAGGTGCACACTGAGTGTGCACTTCCTGTCAGTCCGGCCGGTTACAGGAAACAGAAACTCTGTTCCGCGCTGAGTTTCTGTTTCCGCAGCAACCCGGCTGGACTGACAGGAGATCGCGCACTCAGTCACCTTCCCTCGACGACCCGACTCTGAACAATTTAACTGAAAGCTACTGGCTGCGCCTGAGATGTAACAGGCGCTCGGGCTGCATCCATTAAGGGTGACCCAAGGCGGCTGACCCCAGGTGCCGCGGCCCACCGGGAAATTTCCCGGTATCCCGGTGGGCCAGTCCGGCCCTGGGTAGATATAACAAAAATTGAGTTTGGAAGGCGGCATGCACTTTGTAATATGGTTAATTTTCTTACATAGTCGTTACTGGCAGACATGAAATGGCCTCCATTTCTCCCTCCCGACAGAAACTGCTCATAGTGGAAATTAGAAAAATAACGGAAGAATGAAATAAAGAGAGAAACAAAGAGAAATAAAGTGAGGAAGCACTAGAATATAAACTGGAAACAAAAAGGATTTTGGAGAGCTACCAACAAAGATTGTTGTAGAAAGGTAGGGAGACTATTGATGTTTTGCTGAAAATGGTGCAAATGTAATAAAACTGCTGGAGAAACAGAATAGAGGACAAGGAAGATGAGACTGGGGAAGGAGAGGTGACTATTGGATCTTTGCAAAGAGATTCAAAAGTCTTTTTTTCCACTTTGGCCTGGAAGGATGACTTTGCCTGTCTAGCAGAGACTATCCATACTTTCTTGTCACTTAAAGGGATGCAACCTCTTTTACTAGGTTTTATGATTCCCCATTGCCATTTGGAAGTGTTCTTGGGATCAAAGTATTGTAGTGGGGCTTTATGTAATCTACTGCCTTTGACAGGGTTTCCCTGAGAAAAATATACATGCTTTTATATATTAATGCAATGCACAGTTTATATATTCATATATAAGCAAGATATACTTTCAACATCCAGTCAATGTAACCATATGAAAATGTTCTTAAACAGCATATTCTGTCGTCCATGATCCATAAATTAATATGGAAATGGTTTTATATATGCCTGGAGTGTCCAATTTATATATGTAAGTATAACCATACAATGTTCACTTAAAGGGTCGCCCGACTGCCCAAATTAAAACAAAAAAAATTAAATTACATCTAAAAATCACTTTTTAGTAGAAATGCTATTTAGGGGTCTAAACTGTCCCTTCAAAATTAGTGTATTATAGATAGTTCTTTTCCCCATAAGGCCCTTAATCTGGTCCTGCTGATAAGTTAATAAAGGTTACAAGGGATAAAATAATTTATGGGTAAAACAGGAAGTAGATGCAGCGCCTAAATAGTCCTTTTATGGGGGTATGTAACGACAAGAAGAAAAAAACAGACAAAATTAATAGTGTGGTATGTAAAACTATAGTTAGTATAAATATGATAAAAAATGTGCACTCACACTTTTTTGAAAATTCAATGCAGCTCCAACTTATGCGCCTAGGCGGAATGATCCTCACCTAAGGATAAAGTGCAGTGCTGATTCTTCTTTTGAGCGTGGTTGTGGGAGGTATGCCAATAGAAATAAAATAGATAAAAATCATAGTATAGGGTAGTAAATTAGAACTATGGAGCAAGGCTAGGTATAAATATAAAATGTGCACTTACATGTAATGGAGCCATAAATATGGCTGCAAATTAGCGTATGAAGTGGTATGATCCCCACTCAAGGATATGGGTGTAGACAAACTTTCTCCATGGATATATATCTATATATGGAAAAAAATTTATAAAACCACAATAGTGTACACCATAAACATGGAGTATAAAGCACAATAAAATGATTTAAAAAAACTAATTTACATGCATAAGAGCAAAGTACGGTTTGCTCAATCCAAAACGGTTAGGTGGTATTATTCCCACCGAGGATGTAGCCCAAAGATCCAGCAGCAGCAGAAGCAGGTCCAATAAAACAAGTACTTTAATGTTAAAAAAACAATAAAAGCAAATAACAAGGTAAAAAACATAGTTAAAACAATATATAGAGAACAACGCATTTCACCTAAACATAAACATAATAATTTATACATATAATAGATAGATAGTTAAATAGACAGACAGACACTTTTATATATATATATATATATATATATATATATAAATATATATATATATATATAAAAACATATCTTCAGTACATCTACTTTTATTGTATTTGAAAGGCAAAAGTGTAGAACAATGTATAGTCAAATCATTAAAAATTTAAATATAATTCTGTAAAACTATGCATAACAGAGTACATTTAAGGAAATTAAGTTTCTCTTTTTTCCACCTTGTGTCTTTTCATGTCTGCTGTCGTGCACTTTATGTTTCCTGAGCTCTTCTAGCTAAGCCATCATAAAAGCTAATGAAGAGTGATGCCCAGTTAACTTGTCTAAAAGTGGACGGCCATTGAATGCACTTAATCTTTTGCTATACCTAATGGACCTAATCTCTATGGGTAAAATGGGATAATAATTCAGTGTTTGTAAGCAATTTTTCTATCAGTGTGTCATCACACTACCTTACACTAATCTTTAAATTTAAAAATAAATTTCCCAAGGGAACCTTAATCTGATATTACCTGAATGATGTCACCTGTATTTAAAAAAAGAGGCTTTACGAATGGTTACCAGTAAAGCAAACTCTAACTGATAACAATTTAAAATCAATAAAGGAAGGAGGATGTAGTTCAGGTCTGAATGTCTTATTAGTACTTTAGTACTATGAATGTTCCCTGGAGGACACAAAACCTTGAGACACACCAGATTTTTATATTACATCCCTATGTGTTTACTGGAATAACCAAACCATTTCTGTGACCTACTCCCTTCAAGAATTCAGGCCCCTGTGAGACCTTAAATTGCTGTTTAGTGAATTATCGATTGAGCTGGATCTTGTATGAATTGGCTCCAGCAGCACCCTTATAATGTATGCATGTTCAGGTGAGTGCAGCCCTCATGGCTTCATATGTATATATATATATATATGGGGATCCAATCCAGTTTCATACATAAATATATTTGGGAGTCACAGGTTCCTAATTCCAGGGCCATATTTAACCTATTACTTCAGAGAGTCCCAGGAGGAAGGATAACCCAAGTAAGAGGATTCATCTCACACGAGCAGGCATTATTTTGCTAGGATAGGGCCTGCCAAAGATCAAATAACTGGCATTGTGGCAGGCTTCTGCAATGTATGATCATATGCTGTAACTAAACAACCAATATTTATTGCCTACATTAGGCATGCAAAATTAACATCAGGATCCAATATAACAAGGTATCCATTATATTTATGTACAATTAATTCCACACATTCCTCAAAATATGATAAGTTTAAAAAAGAAAAGGGAGATAAAGTATCCAGAAAGCAGCTCAATAGAAAAGAAAAATGAAGGAGGCTGAATAAACTTTGAGAAGTAGAATAAATTAAAAGGTAATGAAAAGTAGGACAACGTATTGCCCCCCTCACTCTCCGCTGTTGTATTTATCAACTTCTAAAACTAACTTCTTAACAAGGAGCGATACATCACATTAAAGCAACATAACAATAATGTTTCAACACATTCACAATAGCATAGATATCCTTCCATTGCTCTCCTCATGCAGATGGCAGATGTATGGTTCAAAACCTACATATGTGAATAGAGTTTATTTAAAAATATATTTGTTGCCACATATTGATCTGTTTCTTGCATTCATTTGTTGTATTTATAAGTGGGGGTGGGAGGTTAAAAGCTCCTCTTGTGAGGAATGTTTTCTGTTGTAAGAGAGCACTTTACATATGGATGGTTAACCCCTTAAGGACTGAGCCAAATGTACAGGTTGTGATCAAAACAAAATGTAAATAAACCATATGTCTGTTCAACAATAATGTACCTCTTTCATACTACGTGCACCCACACTTATTATATATCATTTTGTTCAAGAGAAACAGAGCTTTCATTTCATATCAAACATTCATATATGGAACTCCATTTTATATGAATACAATCTAAAAGAAATTAAGAAATGTTGTTATTTTTCAAGTTCTGCTTGGCAATTTAACTGTTAATGTCAGAATACTGTTCGACTTTACTGCAATAAAACATACATATTTGTATTCAGAAATGTCTCACAAGTAAAACAGTAATCCCCATCTACAGGTTTTATGAGGTTTTG